CCCCGGTCCAGGCTCGCCCTCCGAGGGGGCTGGGCGGCAGCAGGATGTTCCTCAAGCTGGCCGTCGTGGTGCAGGTGCTGTCGCTGCTGGCAAGCCGGGCGCACGGCTTCCCGAAGCCCGGGGGCAAAGGTAAGCATCTTCCTTAACGCATTTTCTCCGTTTTCTATGAATGGGGAAAGTTTCTCAGGGTACAGATAAAGTAAAAACTTTCCATCCGCTTGACTAAAAGCAGTTAGATCCTAAAGAAACAATATTCCTGGTGCAAGACACTGGATCACTGAAGTTGCAATCTAATATGAAAGTGAAGATAGGTGCTGGTAGAGGGAAAAGCTCTGAATTTTTTCAGTCTTTTCCAAGCAATGTTTTCAACCATTCTATAGCAGTTTCTGCACAAGTCTCTCTCTCACTCCCAGTCTGCCCTGGTATTCTGGATGTAAGAGATTTTTAATCTCTTGGTTGTGCCAATCCGATTATTGCTATTTTAGTCAATCTCTTACAGCATTTCCCCCCCCCCCCCCCTTTTTTTTATTAGTTTTCTTATCAGAAAGGGGTTACTAAGTCTATATCTGTATTTGTATTACATCTTTTGCAGAACCTCTCCTTCTGCCCCAAACAATCATGCTTTGTTTAAATGCTGTCCCTTGGTAGTTGCATGCATCATATAAATGAGTGTATATATGTGTGGTTTTTTATTCTAGATAAAGCTATACACAACAGACAATTAAGTGTAGAAAGACCTTTGGAGGAACAGGTAAGTGATATAAAAAATATTTACAATTTTTTTTGGTTTGCGTAGTCCCGTAATATTTTGAGCCTCCAAGTACCAGATCCATGAATATCCTAATGGCTTAACAAATGAGTTATCAGATTTGTCAGTAAATATTGATGGGCTTGGACACAAAACAGAGAATGGGCATATAGAGTTTTACTGTCCAGCATTCCAAAAGCAGGTTGTTAGCTCCAGCAGATCACAGGTGTGCCACCCTTTTGTATTGACATCCTACAGGAATATAGCAGGAGCTTGGATTGAAGTGGGAAAATGTAACTGGCATTTATCTTTAAATGGAAAGCCCATCGCAGCTTCTCATAATGTCCAATTCTGATCAGAGGATGCAGTGGAACTGACAAAAAGTGCCAAGCGCTTAATCATGCTCTACTTATTAAGGCAAACTTCTTACTGGGAGTGAAGATCAGGTATTAAGGCTTCTGCTGGTACTGATAAATTAAGAGATCGCGCATTTTAGTGTGTTTATTCCTTCTGCCTGTTTGTTTTGTTTGTTTTATCTTTGTATATCAGATTGCTGAAGCTGAGGCAGACAAGAATAGGAAGATAGCTTCCACAGGTAAAATATCTTTCCTGGTTTTATAGCAATATTCATAACGGATTCAAAGAGGTGTAAGATTTTATGTCATGTGTGCATTGATATATTTTCCAGAAAATAAGCCAGAGTTCAGAAATTATTCCTTTGTCGATGATCTGAATCTGCTAAAGTCAGTAGCAGAAAGAGAGAGGAATGAAAAGGAGAGGGAGTCAATTAGAAGCTCTTTGTACGAACAGCAACTGGCCATGGATGATGCAGACTCCACCAAGAACCGCAGGCTTGTGGATGACTATGACTCCACTAAAAGTGGGGTGGATTATAAATTCCAAGGTATTCTGTAATTATCTTTCAGTGAACTTTAGGTTAGACTTCTCTTGCAGTCTGATTGCAGTCATGAATGTTGCAGTCACCACTAAGCGTGAGCTGTTTGTTACTGGAATGCAGTTTCGATTACTTCCAGTAGTGGAAGCTTGTCATATTAGAATTAGGTTTTGAAACACAAGACAAAAGAATTGCTGTTGATTTTCACAGTCTTATTCTGTGGAGGAAAATCCAACTGTGTAGTCTGCATTATGTTTTCGAACAGTTTGATGGAAGGAAAATGGGACATGCTTTTAAATGAAAATACGTTTATTCTGGTTTGAAAGGAAGATGCACTTTTATATAGAGCTAAATCACATATATTTGTTCCAAGTGTTCTGTGCAATGTTAGATAATTGTCCTCATCACAAAGCTAAAAAGTTACGGAAGGCCAAAGAACACTTGCTTTTACTACAGGAGTAGTTAATTGACTTGTAGTTTAAGTGAGCCCCCTGAGAGCTGTGAGCAGCATTTAGCTCAGGATCTTTTTAATTATATCAAAGTATGCTGATCACAGACCAGGGTTTCCTCATCATACTCGCTTTCCCATTGGTAATGATAATATTATTTGCTGTAAGTAATGATTACATAATTAAAACTTCATTTGCTGAAATCCAGACAAAGAGATAGTATGCTGTTTGTCATGATCAGTTTTGGTCTAAGGGGCCATACAATGGAAGTTGATACCAGGAAGATGCATATAAGCAGATATGTGAGCAGTGTTCTCTCATTCTTACGTTCTTTTTTATAAGCAGGAGAGTATGCTCCTGAAATTCATCTCTGCTCTTTCAAAAGAACAAGTCAGGCATTTTTCAGATGTGGAAAATGGGCACAAAGAACTTTTTACTGGGAGTGATGTAATGGGTTCTAAAATGTGTATCAAAGTATATTCCTAATGTGTCTAAAAAGTGCTGGTTTGCTCTGAAAAGAAAAAGATGTGGGCAGATATTTCTTTTACAAGATGTCTAATCCAAATGAGTTAGGACACTCAGCACACAGTTAAACTGTAATCCTTTTAGATGATCCAGATGGCCTCCATCAATTAGATGGCACTCCTTTGACTGCTGAAGACATCGTTCAAAAAATTGCTGCAAGAATTTATGAGGAAAATGATAGAGGAGTGTTTGACAAGATCGTTTCAAAACTTCTAAATCTGGGCCTAGTAAGTATCTTCTTTACACTTCATTTAGCTGATTTGTGGGTTCATTTAATGCTCTGTTAAAAAGCAATTGTATGAACACTGTGTCCTGCTGACTTGAATGAAAATGAATGGGGTGTAGGCTATAGGCAAGCTTCTTGAGTCATTCGGGCACATTGGTTTAGCTCTGCAATAACATTGTTGTTCCTGTGATGGCTTTGCAAAAAAATAGGCCAAGCTGCAGAATGTTGAGAAAACATTCACTGATTGTACTCCTCCCATGTCTGCCCTCATTTTTCCTGTAATTTTTCTTCTCATTCTCATCAAGATCTTTTGTATTTTTAATTTATTTTGGATGCTTATGGGGAAAGGTCTGAGCCTATTCCTATCCACCTGCTAATTATTGTCACCAGCAGGTGTATAATGGTGCTTGTTAGCTGGGGATACATTTCTCATTGTTACTGATTTTTAGCAAGACTGGATTTGTCCCTGACCTCTAGATGTCTCAATGGTTTTAGCCATTGCAATATGGGATCCTTATATTTTGAAATATAAACCTTATCTTTTCTGCAGTAGATTTTACAAGTAGCTATTGCATGCTGAATGCCACTAATATGTTGCAGAATGTATGTATTTATACACACACGCACATATATACACATATATACCACACTTAAGCTCCATCTTTAAAGCTAGACTCCAGTATGTTAAGTCCTATATGGGTTTGCTTTCCTACTGGAGGCTGTATGGGTGGGTGGGTGTTTTTTATGTATACCCACCTATTTCATGTGTGTTTGTATGTGTGTATATGTATCTTTATAAAAATATAGACATGTCTCTATGTGTACACATATACATCAGTAAACGTATTGCACCTAATTTGTCTGTGCTTAGCTTTGAAGGAAACATGTTTGAAGCAACCTATTTACAAAGCTCAAGTTTCGTATCTACAATTAATCTAGGAAAACCACAATATTCTATAAGTACTCTGCACACATGTTTCAACAGATCACAGAGAGTCAGGCCTATACCCTGGAAGATGAAGTAGCAGAGGTTTTACAACAGCTAATTGCAAATGAAGCAAAGGACCGTGAGAAGGAGTCTGAAGATTTTGATTACCCTCCAAGCAGAGCAGAGAGCGATACAAAAGAAAAGCAGCAGGAAAGAATGGTAACTTCTTAGCAAATTATTTTGACTCATCTGCCAAATGTACAAGCAGACCAATACACTGCTTTGCTTTAGGGAAAAATTTGTTCAATCTGGAAACTAAAGGTGTTCTTAAAGTAATTCCATCAGATAGAAAAATGAACCATGAGTTACTTTGAGGTTTAAGTCAGATGCCAAATTGAAATAACTTTGAGAAAGTAGTAGAATCTTCACCTCACAATTAGGAAAATGTTGCTGTAAGATAATGATGCTATTTATTGCTCTGTTAACTCTATCACCAAAAGCAATGTGCTTATAGATAATTATTTTTTTATGTCTTTTATGGAGACATCAAGCAAAGCTGATCAAGATAGTTTCATTAATGGAGAGCTTGATGATACACTGGATAACACATGGTCATCATCTAATATCTTGGAAAGAAGAAATGAGCTGCCCTCTGAAGATAATTTTGAAGACCTCCAATATTTTCCAAACTTTTACGCACTATTAAAAAGCCTCAACTCAGGTGAGCTCATTGTGTGCTTACAGGAACAGTTAGGAAAAAAGTTAGAAAATCTGTATTTTCTCTGTTTTTTTCTCATGCTCTCCCTTCCCTACAGCTGCCCTAGTTGCCAAGAGACCATGTGCTTTAAAAATGTTCTCTAAGATGCATAGCAGAAATTAATGAGTAGTGAGTATGGCAAAACACTGGGAGGAACAGCACTCAAAACTGCAAATTGTGTGACCTAGGTAGCCCTTCCCATCTTGTGCTGTATGATTCGGGAGCCCTGAATTCTTCTCATTCCCGTAACAGCTTGATGGAAAAACTGGCAAATTGTTTTCTCCAGAGATCTTTCCAGTAACATCCGTGTCTTCTAAGCCAACAGAGGTACGAGTAAGCCACAGTAGAATTCTCCCAGTGATAGTACCAGTAAATGAGTCTGAGCCACCCAGCCTTTTCACAAACCACAGATTTGCTGTTTATTGCAATGAAAGCTCTGCATGTCTCTTCCTATTCCGGTGCTAGACATCATTGCCTTCCAGTTATTTCAGGCAAGACTGTGGCACCTCGCCACAGCCCCTTTGTCAGCACACTCTGCCACACACCCACTCTCACCCTCTGCAGCCAGCATATCTTCTCTCTTTCCAGCACAGTCAGCAACAATTCATTCTGTAGATTCCTTGTCCTGCAGGAGACATAATCTTGCTTCAAACTGTTCTTATAAACTCCTGAGTGGAGAGCTAGAACCTGGGGGCATGTTTTGCTCAAATCCAATCTTGAGCAAAACTTCATATTCTTCTTTCTGTTCTTTTCATTTTCCCATAGCAGTTCTGTATGCTGCTTCTTTCTCTTTTTCTACTCACAAAGCAGAGAGGCATGTTGGGTTTAATAGGTTATCAAGCAAATAGAACCAGGTCCCACTGGCTGCACATCTCTACCTGTCTCCTGCTTTATGCTGTTCACCTTCTGGCTTGTGTCACGCTGGAGGACAGGGGATTCAATTGCATCCTACAGATATGGGTTAAATTGCAGGCAGCAATAAAAACACCTGCTGAGCAGCTCTCCAAAGGGGCTGACCCTCTGCCAAGGCTGGGAGTGTATTTCTGACTGTCCCTGTCTGACAGTGCCCCTGGCTCTGTTGGGTCCCTCAGCAACAACCTGGGTTGCAGGAAGAGCTTGGGTAAACTGTGTGAGGGGGGAGTTTCATGCTGCTAATGCAGAAATAGAGTCATATTGTTCAGCAGATAAACAGTGAAAAAAGAAAGCTAAGAAGCAATGATTGTGAAGATAGAGATATGTATGGGCAAGAAAGATTGATTTTTATAACGAAAAATCATTGTTAGTATCCTATTCTGGAGCCATGATCCTCCCAGCCATGTTATATTATATTTTTCCAGCCATGATACTGTGCATGCTAACAATCTCATTTGAGACACTTTACATTTTTGTCATTGAACTCATGGATCTTATAGGACTAAGGATCACTGAGCTATCTTCCTCATACAGAGCCAGACTGACCTACTAAAAGAAAAAAGACAGAGACTGTAGAAAATTCTGCCTATATCTGCCCTCTGACCAGCAATTTGAACTCTGTCAAGTCACTTCATCTCAGTGTTTAGTGTTCTTATCTGTAAAATGGAATTATACCATTTGCCTTCCATAACATAGACCTTCAAGACAAAAAGGTATGAAGAACCAAACCCTGAAGTTTTAAAGCATATTCAATTGTACTTTGCAGGAGCAGTTTAAGGGGAAACATATATAGGAGTTCTCTTTGCTAATCCAGCACAGCATTTTCTCTTTAGTGAGTAGGTCATTTCTTACGCATGAAGTTTGTGCAGAGTCTGCAGAACTGAGTTTTCCAAGTTGTCTGAAGTCTTTGACTAGTTTTGCTGTATCTCCTCATGCAGAGACAGAGGCAAAAGAGAAAGAGACCTTGATAACTATTATGAAAACCCTGATTGATTTTGTGAAGATGATGGTTAAATATGGAACAATCACACCAGAAGAAGGAGTTTCCTATCTGGGTGAGAGCACATACTTTATGCAACAGTGTTATTAATGCTATGTTCTTTCTTTACCAATAGTGGTAATTATCTTCTGTTTCTTGCTCATATGAATTCTGTTTTAGACTTGTTCATTCAAAATGTTAAAGCTGTACTTGGCAATGATTCATCATTCATTATAGCAATGTTAAATTCCAAACTGCTTTAATATTTCCATCAAATGAAGGAAAGGTTATTTATCAGATACGTATGCAGAAGATTATTCCACTTTCACACATGTGAAGCACACTTGATTTCAGTGGCTTTATGTCAGGGGAAGATTAGTGTTATGCTCAGATATATTGTTGTGGATCAGGTACCTGCATTTTCTAAAAAGAATCCAGCACTTCAGTACCTTTCATCTGTCACCTGTATGCAGCTAGGGTAGATGGGACCTAATGCTATAGTCTTCTTACCAAATGAAACTCCTTCTATGTATGGAAAGTGTTACATCTTGGCACAGGAGTGGTTTTTGAAGCACTTTCTCCTGGATCTGTTTTAGAGTCTGTGGCTCTGCAGATTCTGTAAAATTTCCTGGAGAGGGATGTTGGAACAGCCTGGTTTTGTTGTTCTGTTTTCTCACACACCTCTCCTGGTTTTTACAAAACTTTTCTATTAACTGTTGGTAGGTAGCCTTTCTAGATTAACAAGCAAAGCTACAGAAGGGCTTGGCTGCATAAGTTCTGAACAAACCTTTCATTTCTTCTTAAGTATTCCTGATTCTGGGTTAGCCTGAAAAGGTTTTGTTTACGTCAGGGCAATTTCTCAGCTTAATAAATCAGCCCATTACAGAGATAAGACTGGCAGCGATCTTACATGATTTCTGCTGGTTTATCTGATATGGGCCATTGCAGATACATGGTTGATGCATGCAACTGTAACTGTATGGATTGATTATCAATTACTTGGCTACAAAAAATCCAGTGTATCATAATTCACATTCAGTGCATGATTGCACCTGTTCTCTAAAGAATTCATTATAGCTCCAACCAAGATTATCCCTTTATTTTCTGTGAGAAGCCTTGAATTTTGGAATGTTTTTACTACTTATGCTGCAGTTCAGCTCTTTACTTCTCTGGATGCCTTAAAGAAAGACGCACATAAAAAAATGGTTGGTTACAACCTCAGTGGTTTCAGTGGCATTCTACAAATGGAGATAATATAGCTTGAGCAGATATTGCCCTCAATGATAGTCTTGTGCCAAAATTTAATAGGCTAAATTCATCCCTGACGCAAGACCACTCAGATAATGGAATTACACTAGGGATGCATTTTTTCCTGCTCAAATTCAGGGCAGTTGTTTGCACTGGCTTTACTTTGAGTAAATAAATACTGTATCCCTAGAAACAAATTGCCATGATGACATAGTACAGAAGGCAGGGATTAGGTTCAGAGGTCTGATTCAGTCTGGATTTAAAGCAGGACTATCAACTGATATATCCAGACTCTGCCTTGCAAATGAGTGACTTACAGAGAGATGGATTTTTTACTCCATCAAAGCAACTTACTGTAGTGAAAAAAAGCTTTCTTATAGGTCTCTAGTTACTTCTGTGGTATTGGTTCTTTAGACTTGCTGTTAAGAAATTACTTTAAAGCTGACCTCCATTTATTGGACTAATACTGTCAAAGATTCAGGAACAGCAATCACTGGAGAATCTTAGCTTCTTGCAGTATCCCTAAGCATGGCAGCAGTTTCACTGCCACCCTTATTCAACTAAAAGTTACATCATAATATACCCAGTAATGCTTGAATAGGTACTGTGTTTCTGGTGCAGTTTCGGTTAGAGGATTGATGCCCAGCTGTGTTTATTTATAGCAGATAAAGGAATTAGTATGAATGACTGTCAGAGAGAAGAAACAATTTTTAAAATGGGCAGCTTTTTGCATACTGGCTCTGTGCAGATGGATTATATCCTTTCTCTGTTTTATTACAGTAGGAAACTGCCTAAATTACTTTTCCCTACTCTGTGGCTGAAGCCGTGCATAAGCTATGTCCCTGAATTATACATGCAAAATAATAAATCATTTACTGAATGAAGGCACAAGCTTTTGTGCCTCTCGCACAGATGCAGAGACAGTGACTTTGAATGCATATACCAGTAACAGCTGGTTTGGGATTTGGAAACCACAGCATTATGTCATCATCATTGTATCCTACTCTAGGCGAAAGTATCTTGCTGCTGCAGTGAATGATTTTATTAGGTTTAGCTTTAAGTTACAAAGGATCTAACTGCAGCGTGGTGCAAGAAAACACACATGCGGATACATACAAATGCAAGGAAGGGGAAGTTCTTGTTTTAATACACATATTCAATATTAAGTAGAAATTTAAAAGCTTTCCATATGCTAAATATCAGAACCCTGAAAGCCAGGAGAAAAAGTACTGCCTACCTTTTACAGCATCTATTCAGAAAGTATAGCTCTGGAAGCATTGAAGACAGGCTGTAACAAACTGATCTAAACTGTGTGTTCAGCTGAAGTGCACCATATGTGATAATTGCCCTGCTGTGGCAAAATGCCACTATTTTCCATCACTCTTTACTTCCTCAACTATGAATGCTATATTTTATTGTACTGGGTACTAATTCTTCTGTGGAGTGAAGGCCTCGTGGTATATGCATAGCCTGTTCAAAGGCTTTCAGAAATCCTTCTAGAAAGCTTATCTGCCTTCTGAAGATTGAAAGCTGTTCTAATATCGTTTTTGCAATTAAATTAATGGACAAATATTCTTGGTACAGAAAGCATAAGGTAATTAATCATATGACAAAGGATCTCAGTTACACAGGTGGCTTATTAATTAGATCCAACTGTGGTATCAACTCATCCACCTATGGGTTGGTTGTCAGCATCCAGCAAATGCTGCCCAAACAGCTGAACCCTCTTTGCTTGCTGCAGCCTGCCAGAGGCACAGGCTGTTATCACTGAACAGGATGAATATTAGGAAGGACTTAGGATAGCTATTGAAACAATGATTGCTGTTGGCAAGGATGCAGTGACAGAATGGAATGAAAGAGTTGGAATCTCTCCACGTAATGACCAGCAGAAAGCAGTAAGAAACTTTCAGAGAAGTTACAAGTGATTCAGCATAAAATATTTCATTATTCATGGCATTCATACTGTTTCTGTTGCATAAATAGCCAATACGGTATTTTCCAAGCAGAAATGAAAGGATTCTATCATTCATGGTGCTTCAAGAGAAAAAGTGCTGTTCAAGCCACTCACTTTGATTTCAGCAGAGCAGAATAAGGAGTGCATTGTATAGATACTTTACTGTTTGAATGTAGTTTGGGAATAATACCATACTTTCCTTTATTTTCCTTCTGTCTGCCGAGTAGTGTCATGGTGGAGATTCACTCTGAGAGCTTTTCTATCAGAGCCATCTATCACAGGCCAGATAAATGTTAAGGAAAATCTTTGTCTACACCACACAAAAGGGATTTTTTTTGTCTGCTGAGTGACTTTTCCTGCATACACCAGGCTATCTAGCTAATTTTAAAATGATAGCATACTATTCCACTACTATCCTGGTAAAAGCTCTGTTTGTGGTAATTATGTAAACTATAGTTTTGTAATACCATTATTTTAATAATACTGTTGTCAGCTTAGAAGTAGGAACAAATGGTTCCTGCCAGTTTGTTCAGATATGTTTGTAAATCATGTCCCACTAATAAGATCAAAATAATGAGTAATTTTTAGAAGCATTCTAGGAAATATTTGTAATTAGAGCCTAGTGGACCATAACAAAAAAAGAGCTTTGAGAGATGCTAGACAAATTCCTAAGAGGCACCACTGTGTAGGTATGAATTCTTTTTACACAGTACATTGATTATATTCTCCTGCTGTTAGCTGCTTGCAAGGGTAGATTTCTAGCAAATTTATCTATTGCCACCCCAACCGAATGAAAGTTGTGTTATCCAGTGAACTATTACCCTAGAAATCTAAATTAGTTATGCGCACATTGTATTCTTGCATGGAGTTCTCTCTTACTGGCTGGTACATACAGCACAAACTTTTGCCATCAGTACTTCTCTCTCTCACAGAGCTATAGAAGCTTCACCATGAAACTGCATGTTCTATCACATCACATGATTGAGGTTGGTAATTTTGTTTTCAGTTTCTAAATCAGGGCTCTGTTGGAAAAGAAAGAGGCAAAGTGTGGGAAGAAAATTAAGTTTGAGCACTCCATAGCTTTGCTCTTTCTGAGGGAGATCCCACTTTCCACCTCCTTGCAGTAGAGCATTTTACTTACTGGAGCCACAGTGTACAGCACACAGCCCACTGCAGACTGACTGGGGAGCAAACCCCCTTTTAATTAGGAGGGAAATGGAGAAATTGCTCCAGCTCATTAGTATGCAGTGTTTGAGTCACAGCTGCCTCCCTCCATAGACCCAACCAAAGCCACCTCTCACACCGCCTCCCTTTGGCTCTGACTCACTGTCAGAATCCACACTCTCCCCCGTGACTGAGTAGGAGATTGTGTTAGTTAGAAATGGACATGAACAGATGTCTCTATTTACCTCTTCTACCCCCTCATCATTTGTTCTCCATGGACAATTGGAAAGAAGACTGAACTGCAGGATGTACTAGCAATAGGGAAGTGGATGGTTCATTGGTAAGCTATTGCCAAGGTATACATGCACTCATCAGTTTGTCCTTTCCTAAAGTTACTCTTGGATATTGTTTTACTATAATACTCTCTTTCAGACAGACAGGCAGCATGAAATTTCCCCTGAGGCTGCAGGGGAAATAGAAGAGGCAGAAAGTCCCCTATGTTGATTTTTATCATGTCCCTGCCTCTGCATGCTGAGGAATATGGAATACCTATTCTGTTCTGCCTCTCACATTTGCACTTGGTAGCCTCCACAGCTCCACTTCTGATCAAGGCAAAGCTCTGCAATTTCTCTGGCATAGGCCAGTGCGTAGTAGACACAATCTGGTCTTTTCTTGGTCGAGGAGGACTTGTTTGAACACTGTGACTAATG